TAGAGGGTCATATCCGGAGCCTTTGACCTAAAGATCTGATCCACAATGTAGCTGAGCATCGTGAGGAGATACAGTCCCATGATAGCCGGTCACCAACGATTGATTCATACGTCATTTGTTCACTCAGGATACTGGAGCCCATGTGACCATTGGTTTGGAATCAGGGTTTTCCAACTCCCCTAGATGAGCCCTCCATGTCCACCAACCCGGTTAATCCACCGAAAAATCGTCCTCTCGATTTCCTAAACAACACCCGCGCCACCAGAAGGCAATGAGCAGGACTTCTCTGGCACTGGCTGTATACGTGTGGCCCTGTGCGAGCATTTCAAGAGAAGGAGGGTGGCCCCTCTCCACTCTCTACCGTACCAAGGCATTTGGGGGCGTCTTAAATATATATATGTTGAAAAAATGAGACATTTTTGAGATGATGAAGAAGATTTATAACTTAGGTGTATGATTTTAATAAAGTTTTATTCTGTGAACTGGATAGTTTGGTTATAGAGTTCTCATCGTTCTTCCAAAACAATATTATCAGAATAACAATGAAAGCTCCACAACGAGACTATCCAGTTTGGAGGACGAAACTCTTGATTATTAAAACGAAAACTAGTACAATACAAATCTTAACCAATATTAACAATTTCCACTTGTTGTTGTTGTTTTTCAGTTAATCGACATTAAACATGTATGGCAAGCAATGTTACTATACTTCATAGAATCTTGTATTGCATATAAATTGAACAGATGGTGATTACGTAAGGATTAAAAATTTATACTGATCAGCAATTATTAGTCTTAATAATTACTAATGTCCAAGACAATGTTAAAAGGTGTTCATATTATTTCGATTATTTAATCAATATTATGTTCTGGTTCAAAATTAACATACCTAATTACTTACTGACGCCTGTTAACCCTTGTGGAAGAACTTAGGCCACCCAACAGTATTCTTAATCGAATTGTGTCCTGGACAATCTTTTCAAGTATTTTTCCCGTTGCTATTCCTCCTTTCCATGTTTGATTCTGATTCCCGACGTAATGTGTTCTTAGGTCTTCCACTTTTCAATTTCCCTTCAGAATTTAAAGTTAGTGTTTTGCTCATGGTGCAGTTTGATGATTTCCATCTATAACTCTTCTAGGATTACTGCCGGTCACAAACTCGGTTAAAGGAGGAAGGTTTGGTGCGGGCGGGATCGGCAACTCAAACCCATAGCACACAATCTTATTCCCAGCAAAAAAATGCTAACCATAATAAACAAATTCAAAATTAAAGGTGTATATTATTCAAGAATTTATATCTAGGCAGCATCATTGATGAACACGGTGGATCAGATGCAGATGTGAGGGCGAGGGTCGACAAAGAAAGAGCAGTATATTTACAACTGAAGAACATCTGGAACTCAAAACAATTGCCAACCAACACCAAGATCAGAATTTTCAATACAAATGTCAAGAAAGTTCTATTGTATGGAGCGGAAACTTGGAGAAAGTCATCATGCAGAAGATACAAGTGTTTATTAACAGTTGTCTACGCAAGATACTTCGGATCCGATGGCCAGACACTATCAGCAGCAAGTTACTGTGGGAGACAACAAACCAGATTCCATCTAATGGAGGAAAAAATCAGGAAGAAGTTCTGGAAGTGGATAAGACACACATTGAGGAAATCACCCGACTGCATCACAAGGCAAGTTGTCATATAGAATTCTGAAGGCCAAAGGAGAAGAGGAAGATCAAAGAACACATTACGCTGAGAAATGGAGAGAGACATGAGGATAATGAACAAGAATTGGATAGAACTAGAAAAGAAGGCCGATGAAAGAGTGCGTTGGAGAAAGCTGGTCGGCGGCCTATGCTCTATTGGGAGTAACAGGCGTAAGTAAGTAATTTATTCAACAATAATTTAAAAAAAGATCAGAATAGATTATCACAATAACAAAATATCCATTAACAGAATGTTGAATAACTAGAATGTAATATATTCAACTATTGACTATTTACACATGACTGAATTTTTCGGATTTATGTATATATTACAGGCTGAGATCAGATACGTGTCGATCCAGTTGGGGGCTGGTTTCTTTGCTGCTTTGTGTGCTTCGGTGCGTGATGTGGCGAGATTACTGGACTCTAACCCTGATCGATCATGGGCGGTTTCAGCTGTTAATGTCATACATCTAGCAACGCGCGAGGACATGTTCCACGTTGCGTCAAGCGGTTGTACTTCCGTGATCTGGCTCGCAACGGCTAACTCAGAACTGGCACTAATGTAATCATAACTTGGATTAAAGGTGGAATGATTTAGTAATGAATTATAAATAACATTATATATCTATGCTAAAGAAAAACCTTTTAATAATCACATTTGTTATTAATCCGTTGTATAATCAATATTCAAAACTTGTACAACATAATGTTAATACTAAGATAGTCTGATAAATAATCAAGATATGTATAGATATATATTGAGAATAAGTGAATGATCAATTGTAGCTAGACTACCATAGAAAACCTGGAAACACTGGACGGCCGTTTTATCCTAGTATTAGTACTTCTCATCAGTGCATATTTATGATCTTACACCAAAAGGACTCGAACCCTCCACCTTCGGTGATGAATCTTCATCGACTGAGATGGTTGGGCCATGTGTTACGTATGCCTGAACACCGATTGCCACGACGCGCTATGATGACTAGTACTGGGGATTGTTGGAAGAGAGTTAGGGACGGCCAAACCAAAATATGGCATCAGTGTTTGAAGTCACTAACTTCTAGTCTGAGCCATGTTGGCAGATGCAGACTACTTGGTTGGGGTCCGCGTGACTATCGTAACCAGTGGTTGGAGTCTCTAGGTGACATGGCTCAGGATCGATCACAATGGCGTAGGTGTATACACTCTTTATCTTCCTTTAAACCTTGAGACTAAAATTGCTTCATATCTCTATTCCTTCCTGTACTATATCCTTATATACAACCTATAATTTATATACTACTACCACCACTAAATTAATTACTTCTATGAATCCGGTGTTCATCTTGTTGTGCTAACGAGGTATTTCAACTTGGACCGATGCATAAATGTGCCTGGTCCTACGTTGTAGCTGACTGACTGACTGACCTTCGGTGTCGTACGCAAACACTTAACATCTAGACTACTGAGCAGACATTCAGTTGTGCTAATGATATCTAACTTCAACGAATCCACGATATTACACGACCATTCCCCATTGTCTTTGAAAGGTAACTGCCTCACATCATACACAAATTAGTTTCAATTGTCACAGCTTATCACTAGAACTCCGAGAATTACCTTAGTAACATTCTTATCACAGTATTGATTCATAATATACTATGTCAAACAAAAGCAATTTCGACACATTACTATGTGTTATACAATGTTAAACAATCAGAGAATCAAAGTAACTCATTTTATTTCAATGATACAAAAAATACATAAAATAGTAGTCAAACTGTCAACACTGTCGTAAGATTGTATTGTATTATATTGTCACTTAAGAAAAACAAAGTTGATCACAAATCAGTGGTCAATCAACTGTATGACATAACTTTACGTGATCAGTGGAGTTAGACCGTGTCTGTTGTGAGACAGTTACTCACTGAAGACAATGCTGGATAGTCGCTCAATATCATGAATTGCTTGGAGTCAGACACCATTAACACTGTTGCATGTCGGCTCAGTGATTTACAGGTTAAACATTCGCGTGTCAGACTGAAGATGTTGGGTTCGAGTCCCTTTGTTGTGGGATCATAAATGTGCACTATTGAGGAGTTCCATACAACAACGAAACAGCCGTTGAATCTTTCCAGGTTTTCAATGTTGATCTAACATTGATCCATTCATGATCTCAATCAAAAACTTAACAATCTTCACAACCAATGAACAGGAAGTAATTATTATTATTATTATCAATTCTTATTCTCTCGATTTCTGTAATATCAGGAAAGTCACATCATAATAATATATGATGATTATTGTCATGCATTACCAATTACTAGTCTAGATTATTCTATAATTTGATTAAAAAGATATAAACATACTAGAAGGGTTTTTGTGAAGGTTTTAGTAATTTTATATATTTCAAATCATGAGTCAACGGTGTTAACACCATTGGATGTCATCTTAGTGGTCTAGTGGTTAAACGCCCGCGCGCGAGACTGATAGGTCCTAGGTTCGAATCTTGCACTTCGGAATCGTGGTGAGCACTTCTAAGAAGTCCCACAATATAACGAAACGGCCATCAACTGCTTCTAGGCTTTTCATATTGGTCTAGCTTCAACTGATTTATGATTTCAGACATTATATTACATAATATACATAAATTTTTTCGTAATTTACTAGGTTGTTTAATATGATATAAAAAAGTGTATCGAGTAATTGAATATTACATAATTCAGAGGGGGTTTTGTGGAGAATTTAGTATTTTCACAGTTGAAATCATGAGTCAATTGAAGCTAGACCACCATCGAAAACCTGGAAGCACTGGACAGTCGTTTCGTCCTATTATGGGACTCCTCAGCAGTGCGCATCCACGAACCCGCTCTCGCGAGCGAGATTCGAACATAATTATGATTTACATAATTGTTCGCCATAATTTAGATGAAACACAGAGAATGTCTGTGTGTGTGTGTGAGAGAGAGAGAGATAGAGCAAGAGAATGGATCCCTTTTTTTGTAAAAAAAAAAATCATCATAAATTACACCACCTTCCAATCATATTTATTTGGTTAAAATTTTTCATCACTCCCTCCCCCCTTCTCTCTCATGTTTTTCTTTTTAAGAATAAACTAAATTAACCAATCAGATTTAAGATGTGTGTGATTTGATATTTTCGGGGGGGGGGTTCTCTTATTTGAGATTGGTTAATACAAAAAAAATTTTTTCTGTATGATTGACGTGCTCATTTTGGAGAAAAAAAAAAACTTTTTATCTTTTTTTTTAATATTACACATACGTGATTATTTATATATTAAATGGGTATATGGGGAAGATATATGATTATTCTATATATAGTTTTTTTTCTCCCCTTTAATTCACAGATAGATAGATAGACATATATTAGATAGACACATATATTATTACACAGGTAGCATATTGTAAGCCACGTGTGTTAAGGTTGACACCAAAAAAAATTAGTCTCAGCTGAACTCATCATCGTCATCATCATTTTCATTTCCTAGACGTGTATCCAATAAAAAGGGTATAGAAGATAATTCTAATTTTAATCCCTGTCTACTTATTACTATTATTAACAGTAACATAGTCATATAGGACAGTGTGTCAAGGTGATTTTGTAAATACACACATACACACATACATTAAAATGCATACATACATATATATATATATGTATATATATAAACACACAGCTCTAGGGCACAAAATCTATCATTGGTTTATCATATGTTCTACCTTTAAAGTTTCCCATCTGTTAACTATATAAATTGTCAAATCACACGTATATTTCCTCATTATTCAACGTGTAATTCGCATCTAGTCTTGGGTGGTTTATATCACTCAATCAAAGAAGAAGATAAAGAAGAAGAAGAAGAAGAAGAAGGAGAAAGATACTGACTATATATTCACATATACAGAGAGATAGATAGATAGATGTATTCAATTCCATGTCTTATATATAAAATCATTATTTGATATTCTATCATAATCTTCAATTCATTCCAAGAAGAAAAAAAAATTGATTCTACCACTGCGCTTTCAGTGAATAAAACAATTACACATAATATATATTGAATAGAGTAATAACAATAACAACATAAGGAATCATTATGTGGATGAAAGATTGTGATCAATGTTCTATAGCAAAACTTGGAGGTTTACAAATATGGATGCAACATTTAACTGATGAACATGCAATACCAACAGAATGGCCTAGTGATAGAGCTACACGTTTAACTGGTCCTAATGCATTACGTCCATATACAACAATAGCTGAATCAAAAAAGAAACGAAGAAAAGATAGTATACCAAGACCATTGAATAGTTTTATGGTAAGTTATTATGTATATTTATATGTATCCTTATTTAAGTTTATTTGAAATAGAAAAGATTTCTATGGTTCAATATTGACATTATGTATAAGAATTGATATATATAGTAGACAAGTTGATATGTAACTCATACCTCTAACAGCACTCAAGACTACTGTATTCAATTTAACCGAGTGAATATAGTTAGTCTCCAGAGAATTCCACATCATATTTTCATAACTTAAATCATGAACTGATCTTAGTCAAATTGACATTAGAAACTAGGAAGCATTGGATAACTGTTTCACTTTAATACAACATTCCCGAATAACATCTGTCCACCAACTAGGAAAAAGTGGATAGTTGTTTAACTTTAATATGACACTCTCGAATAGCATCTATCCACTAATTTGGTATAAGAAATCGAACTTAGGATCTTCGGACACTCATGTGAATGCCTAACATCCAGATCATTGGATAGGTATTCATTGATGTATCCTAGTTTTCAATAGTGATTTAGCTAAAAATCAGTTCATCATTTAAAATATGAAAGTTTTACAATCTCTACAAAACTCTATACTGATAAACCTCATTATTTATTGATGTCGATATGTTAAAATTGCTGGTGGAGAAGATTTATAACTCAGATGGGTGATTTTGATGTAGGTTTGTTCTATGAGCTGGATGGTTTGGTTGTGGAGCTTTGATCGTCCTTCTGACTAAATCATCAAGCTCAGAGAACAAACCTACATCAAAATTGCCGGTATTTTTTTTTACCTTAATAATACAACAATGTGTATTCAACTCATTTGCATATATTAAACAAACTCTAACTATTCTCAATTGAAATCTATTCATAGTTTTATTGGTTAATTAATGAGATTCACATGTCAATTAGGTAATACTTACTATTAACATCATCGTCGTCGTCATCGTCATCACCATTACTGTCAATGACAAGTGAATAACTTTAGATTTCATTGTATACAGGGTATTTCAATAATTAATTGAATTACATCTATATGATAATTATAAAAATAGTTGTCAAGACATTTTGTAACTAAGATGAAAATAAAGTAAAGCAATATGATAAGTAGGTTTATATTTATCATAGATTCATTTTATTTTAGGGTAGCACTAAAAACTAAAGAGTTCTAGGCAACTTCTTAGTTTAATCATTGAACTATTCAACAGTGAATGGTGTAGGAGTAGGTTGGAAGAAAATTAGGAGAGGCCAGATCAAATTCATGAAGTCACTGACAAGTAGACTGAGCCATGTTGGTAGGTGTAGAGTATCTGGTTGTCATCCACGAGATGATAACAACCGATGGCTAGAGACCTTGAATGACATGGCTCAAAATCGTTTGTAATGGCGAAGGTACATCCACTCTTTGTGTTCTACCAAATTTTAATCTTCTGAATTCTTCATGTTTCTATCCTTTTTCTCTTTCCAAACATATTTCATTGGATTATAGTCCTTAAATAACATCTTCAAACCTTAATCTTTCCGATTACTGCTTATACTTTTACTACTTCTAACATTATGAGATTTGAATGAACAACTGGATCTCTGCGCTAATGTGGTATGGCAATTCGAACTGATGAACGTTCGTATGAAGTTCTACGTTGTGACTGACTGACTTACTCGACAGTGAATGCCTTCGATTCAGTTAGAGAAATTAGAATTTCGACTTATGAATTTAATCTTTAACTTGAAGTGTTGTTTATAAATATGTGTGAGAATCCTACTTTGATTATGACTGATAAACATAAAGATTTCAATGATTATTTTAAACTAATACACTTCAATGATTCAATACCGCCGTTAAGAATTAATAGAGAATTGTTGACTGTTTTATAATCTTTCACATTACTCTCTAGTAAAAAAATCCCTGACTTGGGTCCAAGAGATGGTGTAACACAGTGGCTAGAGACATTATCAGATATGGATCAGAATAGAAGCCATTGGCGATCCTGCTGTAAACTTCTTTTACTTTCTTCATAAAGAGTGTTCATAACTTCTACTACTAGTCTTATTGATAACTAATGTTGGGACTATAAAATGAGTAATGCTAAATTCATTTAGTATTGTTTGTTTGAATCTTCCCATTGATGTTTTAGGACTGCAAATGGTCAGTCTCTAATTGACATATATGCATACTGTGCGTATTGCCTCGATATAGCCTTAATTCATAAGCATGGTAAGCAAAGATCCTAAAGTTACCTCAATGGCTTTAGGTAAATATGATAAATTGATATTACCCTCACTTATCTTGATTTGCGGTGTGGACTGAAACTGAAGTAGGTTAGAAGACAGTGAAGAACATTGAAACCCGAAACATGATATCACTTTATGTCGTCATTGTGTAATGGTTCGACCTATATTAGCAAGTAAAATCTATCTAATTGTGCCTTGCGCGATAACTACTATTAGTGGTTGAAGAAGTTGAGTTACTTGACTTAAAAATCCATTGCATTAAGTCAGATTCATTCAGTTGTGATCTTCACTTAGAGTCTATGAATCCGGTGTTGATCTTGTTGTGCTAACGAGATATGGCAACTTGGACAGATGCATATATGTGCCTGGTCCTAACTTGTAGCTGACTGACTGACTGACTCACTTAGAGCCTGGAATTCAAGGATTAATTCTTTCTTCTCTAATCATAATCTATATATCTAATCTTTTTTATTATCACTGATACTATAACTACAACTATTACCATATAGGTTTTCATCTTTAGCATTTCGCGAGATGATAGAGACCTTGAATGACATGACTCAAAATCGTTTGCAATGGTAAAGGTATATCCACTCTTTGTGTTCTACTAAATTCCAATCTTTTGAATTCTTCATATCCCTTTCTTTTTCTATTTCCAAATCTATTTCATTGGGTTATACTCCTTCAAGAGCATCTTCAAACCGTAATCTTTCTCATAATGCTTATAATTTAACTACTTTTACCAGTATGGGGTTTGAATCGACAACTGCATCTCTGTGCTAATATAGTGTGACAATTTCAACTGATGTACGTACGTATGAAGTTCTACGTTATGACTGACTGACTGACTGACTTCAGCATTTCATGTCATAAGGCAGATATAACTCAACTACTTAAATCGTCTCAGTTTTCTTCTAGATATTACCTTACTTATGATTCATTCATTTAATTTATATGTTTAGAATTAATAAGATTGATTTTTAAATATGTACCATCATATCACTATATTGATATTCAGTATAGTAAAGTATTTATTCCCAATCCTACATTATTCATGATTGACAAGGAAAAAACTTTCAATGTAGACATTGACTTAAAGATGAAATTTAAGCTGGTAATAACATTATCTTGTTAAGTATGAAAATGTTATGCCTGAAACTAAATCGATTCCGCGGTAACGAACGAAAGCCAAAGACACAATGACACGATAAGATATTCTAATCGTCTGTCCCAGGCCCCGCTAACTAGATGAAGAAGTCCAAGGCAAGTAGGGGAATATATATGTATTCCGTAAGCAGCCGAGTACAAGCAATCGAATAATGGAAAAAGTCAAGCGCATTTATACAACAACAATTTGTCCTTGAGCATCATTGGTAAATAGCACACATAAAGAAACAATGGACCAATAGCGGTTAAGATAGTTTACAGGTGGGAAATATGACGTGAAGGTAAAAAGAGCGCTTTTGGCGCGAAAACAGCTAAATTCAAATTTTCAAAATAAAACTACAAGATTAAGCCATTTACCAAGTAAGTTCTGGGGATTGACATCCCCAACAGAAAATATGACAAAATGGATTAAATCAATGTAAGTTATCACATTTTACATTGTTACCATAGAGAATAAAATCATGATTTGAAAGTATTGATCATATAAATCATAATGGATCATGAATGGAGTATCAAATGATATAAGATAAAACGGTATATATGAAGTTCATTTATCAGCTATATAAATGTATATTTGGCTACAGATCATAGAAGGCTAGTAATGATACTATTCAGTTGTCTAAACTTAAAGTAAACAGAAAGTTGTTTGAACTTAGAACTTAATGTTTTTAAGGTGAATATGATTATGAATACAGTGATCTTGAGTGCTGTATAAAAGTGATTATCACTTCCTGATTGTTCATACCGTTGAAGAGCTCTCTTACAGGTACTTGGAAAGGAAATTATGTTAGAGTTAATCTCAAACGCCGACGTTAATAGAAGATAAAATCTATAATTCTTTTATATATTACTACTACTTATATGAATTTAGTGTTCATCATGTTGTGCAACTTGAACCGATGTATATATGTATCTAGTCCTACGTTCAGTCAGTCAGTCACAACGTAGAACTTCGTATGTACGTGCATCAGTTGAAGTTGTCATACCGCATTAACACAGAGATACAGTTGTCCATTCAAATCCCATAGTGGTAGAATTAGTAATAGTATAAGTAGTAATCGGAAAGATTAGGGTTTGAATATGTTATTCAAGGAGTATAATATAGTGGACATGAAGAATTCAGAAGATTATAATTTGTTAGAACACAAAGAATGGATGTACCTTCGCCATTGCAAACGATTTTGAGCCATGTCATTGAAGATCTCTAACCATTGGTTGTTGTCATCTCACGGATCTCAAACAGGTAGTCTACACCTACCAACATGGCTCAGTCTACTTGTCAGTGACTTCATGGATTTGTGCCACGTTTTTATTTGGTCACCCATAGCCTTCTTCCAACCTACTCCTACATCATAAAATAAAGCACATCGGGGTAGTCGGCGGTTGGGCATACATAATGCATATCCCAGTCATCTCAATTGATGAATTTTCACTACTTCACCAATCGATTTGCCATCCTTACACAGTACCCGATTCCTAACAACTGCATTACTTACCCAGTGATCCCAGGATATACGAACAATGCTTTAAAGACACTTTTGATCGAATACTGGTAGCTTACGAATATCCTCTAGTCTTATCGGTCATGTTTCACTACCATAACTAATGGACTGATTGTCAATTTCTTAATTCACAC